ACCCCCCCCCCCCCTGTCTTTGCCGGGAGAGAAAAAAGCTAATATGTGGCACGGAAGGAGAAATAGTGTTGGCTTATGGCTGCCTGCCTTCCGCTCAAAAATATACACTATTACAGGCCCCAGTATTTTTTGTTTTTGCATCTTTCATCTTTTTAAAATGCCATGAAATATAAAAAGTTCCTTATATACAGGGATACCCCTAAAGGAGGAGACTTTAATAACGACCTAAAACTCGATTTCTGTGACGATATGAAGGTTGAGTTTAGTCTTCTGTCATATAGAATAAAGTCGTTTAAAAGTTAAATAAATCTATATAATAAAAATCTTTGCTCTAATACATATTTATATGTTAATATGTTAGGAAGGAGGGAAGGCAACCTCCCCCGCACAGCTTCCAAACCTCGAATTTGCGGCAGTGCGCGTCCCCATACGACTTCCGAACCTCACCCAACAGTCTTCCGGGAATGATCTTCCATTTACAATCGTAAACTTCTACTTAAAATGGCACTGATTCGATAATTTTAGCACGCAAAGTTCGGGGAGAAAATAGCTTTGTTTTATTGATTTTTTTATCAACAAATCTTGGAATGGCTGGTGCTTTTTTATGAATTACTTTTAGCAATAAGTAGACATATAAAAAAGATTTCTTCATAAAACGTTGTTTCTAAAAAACATATCTGTTTGTTAATTTAATTCCTAGTTATATTGAGATATTTAAAGAAAACAAAACTCTGTTATAACCTAATGATTTTAAAACTAAATTGGCACGCCTTCTTTTTACAAGTGCTACTGCTACAGATTTGAAATACATAGACCGAAAGATAATTACATTTTCTTTAATTTGAGCATCGCTGAAATTGCCTTTTCTAATTGTTTACGTAAATTTCTTTATTTACAAGGTCAAGGGAATTGAAACTGTACAAAATTTTAAATATGGAATTAAAAATCATCAAGTTCCCAACGTTGCAGAATGAAAGAATGTTCCCAATATTGCTTCCGAACCTCAAGGTTCGGAAGCTGTATGGAGATTCAGCAAATGCCACAAATCAAAATGAAGAACAAATACAATTTCAAACAAAATCAACAAAGTTTAAGTTATTCCAACCAAAACTTTGATTGTAGAAGAAAAAAATATTATGCAAACATTAAGATACTTATAGATCGACTACCATTCTTATAGTCTTGTTTCAAATAGAAATTGATGTTTATAAATGGAAGAACCTTCCTGGAAGACTGTTTGGGGGAGGTTCTATAAGCCCTCGGGGGAAGTGCACTGCCGCAAATAGGTAAAATAAGGTAAAGAAGCTCTGTACCGGGGAAGTTGACTTCCCTCCCTTATGGGTGGATCCGCATTTGAATTACTGCCGTTTGAACTATGGTACGTTTGAACTATTGCTCGTTTGAACTATTGTTCATTTGAACTACTGACATGACGTCATATCCTGTAGTTTAAATCAACGCATTTCTTACTCATTTGAACTATTTTTCTACCCCAATTCAGTTTTAAAATTTTTTTATAATCTCCATTAAGTTATATTCATGACAATTAATTAGATAAACATTACACAGAATGAACATAAAAATAGTTCAAATGAACATAAAAATNCTACTCACGTGGTCCCACGTGCAGTAGTTGAAATGAACAATAGTTCAAATGAGCCATAGTTCAAACGGCAGTAGTTCAAATGAAATAGCACCCCCTTATGTTAGCTTTAGCTGGACAAATTCGGCTGCACCAAATAGGCTAATTTTTTTTGAGGAACATGGGCTAAAAAAAAGATTTTTCTAATTAACACAACTATGGTACAGTGTGCACAGATCATTTCACTTTTTTTATTTTGGGCTACTTAAAGTAAAGCCATTTGTATTGTAATAACATCAAATACACTTAAATATTGCTTTAATGTCGTCTTTCTGGTTTTACCTATAGAGAATTGTATTTTTAATCCTTTAAGAAAGCATTAGTTCG